ATGTTTTCTGTATAATAGCTTATTTGAAGAATGCAGCATTTAAATTAATGAAAAAAATTTTCCGCAATAAATTGATCTGAACAATGAACCAATGCTTTTTCTCTATTGTATAAGACTTGGCAATTACTAGATTCTAGTACGTGAGAGAATAATGCAAGCATCACGTGGAATAAATATGTCAATTAGTGTGGTCAACGTATAATATTAATAACTTTTTTATGTTACATTTAATCTAATTCTTTTCACACAATAGCTCTTTAATAATATGTAATTCCATCTTACTGTCGTCCAGCATGTTTTATAGCATGTCGTGTCATGTCATGTCAAGTCGTGCCTTGTCCAATGTCAACATAGAAGACACGGCCTCCGAAAGCATTTAGTTTAGACAGGAGCTAATTTGTAACGATATGTTGATCAATGTTTTGTGATGGTAACATGATAGGATTATAATTGACATTTTGATACAGAATAAAGAAAAACATGTGTTTTTAATTATTTTACAACTTTGTTATGCAATATCGTTGTATGGTGATGATGGATTTATACTGGCTTCTATATTTGGTTTGAAGGTGTCCTTCTTTCGGAGTGATGCTGCTATTTAGAATATATTTTAGTATTTTACCTTGGCACCCTAACTGGATCTCTAAAAACACCTGTAAATACACGTGGATGTCAGTAGACAATGAATACATAAGAATGAAATCCAGGATTATTACTAATTGTAATTGAACTTATATCAAAACTTAATCCATTTATACATTTTTATGTTCATGACTGTATTGACATACAAAAAAGGCTGTAAGATTTTTACTTTTTGGACCTCAAGAAAATGTCATCCTTGGACCCCAACAATCATTTCGTAGGTCAAGAATAGGGTTGGTGTACGATAGGGTTGAAAGTAGAAAGAAAGTAAGAAATTATGTGAATTTGTCATTACATTATGGCGTTGCAAATTTGCGATTTTTTTCGATTTCGCCTTTCGATTTTGTATGTTTAAATGTTTAATAAAACAGTTCTTTGTCCACAAAAGCCTTCTTAGTTTTTGTCCAGCACGATATGGATCTCGTGCCGAATGCCGTTACTCTGCTTTTCAAACTGGACTTTCTTTTTGCGAAATTTATTGTACTGAATGATACTCGATTCACGTTATCGTTTTATTTTATTTCAAAATATGAGCAAATAGAGTCGTATACTACTACAGTATTTAATAAACATCGATCAAATCACTTTAATTATAGTAATAAACTTAATTACAGCACTCGCAGGCATGTGATGCTTAAGAACAGTTGTCAACGGTTTATGAAATATCATCTCGTTGTACGGTGATAGTAGATACAATCGGTTTTTTTTCTATTTTATTTTTTTAAGGTTTTTTTTATTTATGTATCATTCACAATATTTTGTTCAAAAATATGTGGAGCACGAACATCTATCATCAAGAAATAATAATTATTATTTTTTGAATAAAGATATTCTTAAAAATTCAAAAATTGTATGGAACTGTACTTATTTAGAGGAGGTAGGAGCTTATTGTAAAGGTTTTTTTAAATTAATATATCTTGAGATCTACTAATTATATTTCTATGGAATAAAAATGAATAAATGCTGTAAATATTCCCCTACAGAAGAAGTAAAATAATTCCACAACTGTTGTTCATTATTTCACAATTAATCAATTTTTAGACAGAGTGTGGTGTTATTCCATTGTGGTGTTACAACTTATTCCATTTAAAAGCCATTCGATGTATCTCGATGAGGAATAGCATTTCTCAGTTTTGTTCGACGATCGGCTGAGCCGTTTCTTTGTAAATCGCAGAAAAGTGAAAAATGTTTCTTCCACGTTTTAGTCCGCAATTCTGAATCGATTTAAAAATTCAAAAGCGTTCCAATTGGTTAGGAATCATGCTGATTAGTTTTTCTTAAAGATCGGCCGGGCCGTTTTCTTGTGATAAAGTGTTAAAAAAACATTTTGACGATTTTTTTGAATTTTTTTTTGATAGTAGATACCATAGTCTTATAGATCATTTTACAAAATCAAAAACTATTCGAAAGATATTAGTTGGGAATGATACTGAATAGTTTTAGGTGAAAATCTACCGAGCCGTCTTCTTGTAATTAACTGTTGAAAAAAAAATTTAAGTCGATTTTCACTGGAACTTTTTTTGGCGATATATATCATGGTCTTATAGAACATACTGAAATATTGCGGCCTTACGACAAGTAGTTTAATTTCAAAGATTCATCAAAGTTTGAGAAAAAGTTTTTCGACGTTTGTTAAAATTGAAATTTGACGATTTACTTGGTATAAAGATAGAGTAGTTGGTCTTAATGAACATACTAAACCATTAAAGTCCTACGGAAACTGGCCCAATTATAAAAATCATTGATTTTTTAAAATTTGCTTTTAGAAAATACTCCGACCGGGTTAACGTGTTCGATTTTCAATAATGTGTAATAAATCCACTTCGAATACTTTTAACCATGTAACTTGCCTCAAAGCAAAATACCAATACCAACTAGGGGGCGTTCATTAATCACGTGAGGTTTTTAGGGGGAGAGGGAGGTTTGACAAAAAATCACGAAATATCACGTGGGGGAGGGAGGGTATGGTAAGATATCACGTGTATTTATTTTTTAACTTTTGTTAAAAAAAAATTCAAACGTTTTTAAAAAAAAAGAATCAAAATTTTTAGATTTTTCACGTAACTAAAAATACACGTGATGTTTGGTGGGGGAGGGGGGGGTTAATTTTGAAATTCACCGCGTATCACCAAGGGGGAGGGTGGGTCCAAAAATCTTTAAAAACTAGCTCACGTGATTAATGGACGCTCCCTAGTTCTAATTTTCTGTTATTTTCATTATTTTTTATAACGTACATTTTTATTATAGGGATTACTCGTCATGGAGAAGTATAGTTATTAGTTAGAGAATCACATCTCCTTAAAAATGACATGAGAGCCAAAATTGTTCCACTAGAGTTTTTATCTGTCGCACTATCTGCATCAGCTTCAGTATCAGTCGCAGTTTGCTCTCCATCCTTATCACACATCTCAATAAAACTGCTTCTTAATAATTATTTTATCAAAATAACGTCCATAAGAATAATTTAATCGTGCAATACGATACTCGTGGTTCATTATTTAACTGTATATCTGTATTGCATATAACCTTCTCGGCAAGTTTCTCATTACCCGAGATAAGAGTGCGGCGGTGCTACAGCTACAGCGTTTAATTTCCGATTGTGTTGTGTTTATCAACAATGTTAAGAGAAAATGAGCTCCTGCATTCCACGTAATTCGTCGGAGGAACAACGACATAACAGATGCAAAAAAGTGGAAGCGATTTTTACGCCATGAACTTATATCTTCTATATTTTACAATATGTTTGTATAGATTTAGATTTAGATTTAGATTTATTAGATATACAATTCACAATTTTACAATTAAATAACAAAACAACCAAATATAAAATACAAATAAAGGAGTGCTAAACTAATTTAATTTTGAGTCTTGATTTTATGAAACTTGATATTACGTCTTCGTTTAGAGCATCTTCAAAAGTTGAGGTCCTGTATATCCATTAATTTGCAGAAATTATTTAAAAGTTTAGAAGCTTTTCTGAAAAAAAAAAACAGTATCAGAGACGAAGAAAAATATTTCACAGCTAAGTAATACTCAGTTATTGCCAAAAATTGCTGTATTTGTAAGATATCACATATAATCAATAAACAATTAAGATATGAAGGGGATGGTACCACTGTATTTCTTGAAGTCAAAATTAGTATACTCAGAAATGTCATAAAAACTGTTGGCTTTTGTAAATTAATCAAAACGTTGTGGAATTTATGATTGCTTAGTTGACGTATTTGTAAAGGTAATAAATTGAACAGTTGAATACCAAAACCATCAATTGAATTAAAAGTAGTATTAAGCTTAAAAGTCGATCCTTTGATAGTTCTATTTCTTGTGACATAGTGGGAATCAGACATGGAAGATAAAGTAAAGTACTGGGTTATTTTTCATAAAGAGAAGTGTAATAAGTAGGAATATGTTAGGAACGGTAAGAATGTTATATTTCTGAAAAAAATTCTATAACTGTTGAGA